GGGGGGGGGGGGGGGGGGGGGGGGGTGGAGCGCTTCTTAGCAATTTTTATGTTATTATAGTGAATGAGTTTTCTGAAGTTGGTTTGCATTTTCTTCTTACAAATGTAGCTGTAGTGTAAATTAGTTTGGTTTTTATATGGGAAGGCGACATGAATTTCCATGTGTTTTCATTCATTTTCATTCTGATAATGATTGTTTTATCGCTTAGATTTCAGTAAAATCAAGACCAAATGCGCAGAAAGAGGCGTGGATTCAGCTAAGGTTACAATCGAGCAAGTTCCTGTCTGTACAAGCATTGTTGTCAGCGGTATTTCTGATGATACCACCCATGACGCCATTGAACTGTACTTTGAAAGTCCAAGATACGGTGGGGGTCCTGTGGAGAGAGCAGAATTTCTACCAAAAGGTGGTAGAGCTGTGGTTGTGTTTCAAGATCCAAAAGGTTTGTAACACAATAGGCCATTTCCGAGTTGCCCTTTGCCTCTGTTTCAAAACGAGTCTTCGTGCGAAGCCATTGTTATGAAAATGCGTTTATCTATAAGTTCATTTTCATGCAAATCAAACTCATTTTCATAAGAAACGTTTTGCACGAGGACTTAATTTGAAACAGAGGCAAAAGGCAACTCGGGATGTCCTGTTCTAACTTATGGCTGCTGTTCGGCTATCTTTTGTGAACAGTTCTTAAAGGACCTCAGTCACGGTCTGCGCATATTGAAAAGTTTAGCCTCAATTTTTCAAATTCGTCGTTTGTAATCCGTGTTAATCTTCGCCATCCGTAGCCATCCTTTTTCCTTTATGGTTTATTATTATGTCTTTGGTGTTTTTCTATCTTATTAAACTGTTATTTTCAGGTTTCCTACCATTTAAAGGTAAATTTGTATGTAGCCAAAATAACTCAAGATAGCGTGACTGAGCCCCTTTAAGAGAGGATACCCATGGCCATGGGATAGCCACACTGAAATTCTCCCCAAAGAAAAGATTCTACGCACGGTATAACTGTTCTGTTCTATTTTTTCGTTCACAGATATAAAAGGAGTGTTAGCTAGGCAGAAAGAAAAACCACATGTCTTAAACCTAGCGAAACTGTCAGTCAGAATTTACCATGAGTTTCTAGAAAGCGAGGGAGACGACGAGCCAGACGATTCAGATGGACTGGGAACTACCACCGGTAGCGCCGATAAAGCTCGAGTGAGTCAGCGGCCCAAACTGGAAGGACAAAAACTACACATAGCTGTAGACCCGGATGTAATGGAATTCGTCACCAATTCAGCATTTCGCGGCCAACTGAGCAAATTCCTGGCCGCAAAGAAATGTGAAATTACCTGGAAAACAAACACAAAAATAGCTGTAATAGTGTACCAGGGAGGAGACGACAGTGATTCGTGGCAGTCCGAGTGCATTGATGAAGTACAAAATTACCTCAGTAAATTTACAAAGCGCGACGTTCAAGTCAAGAAGGATTCCTGGAGAGCGGTGGTGGCACAGTTGTCCAGTATTCGCGCCCGCCTGGGAGTATATCCTCCGCTGGTCAAACTTATCGATGATTCATTTGTTGTTAGAATTGTTTCCTTGAGCACAGCTGCAAAGGATTATGAGGAAAAGTTGAGATCTAAATTGGAAGAGATATACCGGGAGGAAACCAGAAAAACCTACCTGAAGAAAAACGTTCCTAATGTTCCAAAAGAACACTTAATTCTGCTGGAGAAGATCAAGTTTGTGGAGAAACTTCAAGAGAAGAACAGGGAACTGGAGATAACGCTAGATACTAAAGGAGAAGAAATATATTTCGAAGGTCCCGAGTCACAGTTTACTGAAGCAACGACGAAGTTCCTCAAACAAATGTCGTACATGGTTGAAAAGAATTTGACTCTATCCGACATCATCTTGGAAGTTTTGGGCTCGGACGAAGGGTTAAGGAAAGTGAAAAGTGAGTTGGAAAAGAACAATGTGGAGGCAGTGTTCGTCATTGACAACGGCTCCGGTGCCAGAATTGTGAGCACGTCAGCTGCACACTGGGACGAGGCCGAGAGGCTGGTGAACAGGTTGACGTTAAACGAAAAAGTCCAAGTGAATGATAAGAGCGAATGTTTGTTAAAAACTCCAGAATGGCGTGAGTTGTGTGACGAAATCAACGCCGAAACAGCTGTCCGTATCCATCGGAACAACTGGAATGACATTTTCGTCGCTGGGTTCCAGGATGAGGTCAAAGAAGTGATGAAGAAGCTTAACACGTTCTTGGAAAACAACTGCATCAGGGAAGAACAGTTTGTATGTTCATCTCCGATTGTCAGAAAGTATCTTGACGAGTTTCTTCAGGAAGATTTACGCTCCATTGAAAACCAACTGAAAGATTTTGAAGTGAAAATTAAAAAAGGAAAAGGAGATGATGATTTTGACATTTCTGGAAACAGAAAAAGCTTGACTGATGTGAAGAGACAGCTTGACGCTCTCGAAGAAGATACCGTGTCAAAACATTTTGATGTGAAACAGCCAGGCCTCCGGAGGTACTTTGACAGTGGAAAAGGAGATCGTCTTGTGAAATTAGTGGAAAAGGATCAAAACTGTGCGATACAAGTGCAGATGAATTTTGGCCAAAGCCTAGATGAAAATGATGATGATAAGGATGGCGACGGCGATGGTTTTGGTGATGGTGATGGTGGAGCTGCTGCTGCTGCTGCTGCTGCTAATGATGATACTGCTGCTGATGGCGGTGCTGGTGGTGGTGGTGCTGCTGCTGCTGTTGATGATGATGGTGGTGCTGATGCTGCTGCAGCTGACAGCGCTGCTGCTGATGGTGATGATGATGATGATGATGATGATTTTGATGATGAAGATGAAGATGTTGATGTTGATGTTGATGATGACGATGAACAAGATGATGATGGTGGCGGTAGTGGTGGTAGTAATGGCGATGACGACGAAGATGAGCATGCTGATAACGGGACTGATCCGTTCACCTTGATTATGACTAAAGGCCACCACAAAATATCGTGGAGAACTGGAATGATTGAGACGGAGAAGGTGAGTGTTGAGCAAACCTGTGTATTCAGTTCCTGATACTGTGCTCAATTATCGGTATACTACTTTTGATTGGTTTTCAATTACAAATCGGTCATTTCAACTAAACTATCAATCAGATTAAAGACATTTACACCTGCTTCCAGTGTTACGTGCATAGGCGACATCCTATGCACGTAACACTGAAAGCGGGTGTAAATGCAGTTAGAGGACCCATCATGTCTAAATTGTCTGTTATGATTCTGCTCTACTATCACACAGTTTAAGTCCGTTTAGAATTAGACCCGGCTGTTCACTCTCAATAAGCAACATGAGCTTCAAATTAAAGGAACTACGTCACGGTTTATGCTTCTTGAAAAGTTAAGCCCACATTTTTCAAGTTCGTCGTTTGTAATCCGTGTTAATCCTTAATCCTTACAAATCCTTATACCTTTATGGCCGGTGTATTTTTATCTCTTTGGTGTTTCTCTATCTTAGCTGTCGTTGTTTTGCTATCCTTTACTTGGTACTTTGCAATTTTAACCTGAAGTTTTGTTTTAAACGGCAGGCTGATGCACTGGTCTGTTCGGTCGGAGCAACCTCTCAAGCGATTACAAAGGCGGGTGTTTCTCTAATGACACCTCCAAACGCTGGAGACAGTGCTGTCTCTCCTGGTTTTCCATTGGCTAATCACGTGATCAACACTTACTGTGGCCAATGGAACGATGGCAAAGGGGAGGCGGTAAGCGTATTTTTCTTCCTACCTTGAACTGATGCTTCACAACGGTGGATGAGTAGGGGTGGCACAGTTGCCAGAGCGCTAGCCTCCCACCAATGTGGCCCATGTAGGAATTCCATGTGTGTTGAGTTTTTCTTGAAGGTTCTCGTCTTGGCCCCGTCCTGTAGTTTTTCTTAGGGATCTCCGCTTTTTCTTCCTTCGCAAAAAATCAACACACCACATACAAACCACAATCACCCACTTTGCTCCGACGAACGGCTAACGCAACAAACTGACTGGTGGGTTAATTCAACTTTGTAAACTTCAAGATGACAACTAGTTAGACGTCTCTGTCAGTTGCGACTCACTTCCCGTATTATTCTGTAGAATCAGTAAGAGCAAAGATATATAGCTATTAATGGACTACTCGCACAATACTTATCATATGGTCCACCTTTCAAGTCCACTCTTACAAATTTTCCCTTTTGTTTCAGTCTCTACGGGCCATCGTCCAAAAGTGTCTGCAGAAGGGTGAAGAGCTTGGAGTGAAGTCCATTGCATTTCCTGTCATAGGAACTGGAAACCTCAGCTTCCCACGGGATGCAGCCTCGAGAATCATGTTAGAAGAAACGATCAGCTTTTGCGGAGCAAACCCTGGATCTAAAGTGCACGATATCCGATTTATTGTGTTCGAGCAAGATCAGGCATTAAATGACGCCTTCAAACAAGAGATGGACAAATTGAAAGTCAAGCGCAAATCCCGCAGTCCTGCCTACACTGCGAGAGGGCTATACAAGAGTATTCGTTCCAAACTTCGAGGACTTAGAAGGTACCGATCAGTCTCAACAAATTTAGACTCAATATTAAATGCTACAGATACTGGCCAGCTAGGAAAGCGTGAAAGGAGACAAGCGCACCGAGCGAGTCAAGAGCTCTCTGTGCGAATTTTTGTCCTCGGCAAGAAAAATGCAGCCGTGGACAAGGCCGTGGAATTTTTGAAGAGAGGTTTCTCTGAAGCTTGTATCACGGAAAAAGTCGAAAATGAGGTTGTTAGTCAACTTTCTCATAAACAGATTGTCAGACTGAGAAGAAAAGCCGAGGACCGTGACGTCAAACTTGAAGTTGAGACTGATGTTGATCGCATTGTCTTGCGGGGTCAACCGACCGATGTGTCCGGCATGGTCGGGGAGATCTGGAAAGAGATTAGCGAGAGAATAAAGAAGAACCAGGAAGAAGAACAGGCGCAGATGGTGGCAAGGAACATAGAATGGAGTTACAAAATACGCGGTAGTAAAAAGGTTTTCCATCCCAGAGCAAAAGCAAAGATTGAGATTGCGTACAGCAAAGCTGCGTCCAGAGTTAAAGTATCTTTACGTGGAGAGCAGTTTGTTATCGATTTGAAGGCAAAAACCGGCCGCGGACAACGAACCGGTGAACAAATTACACTGAAGAGAAAGGTTAAGGAAGCAGAGGAAGGTTAGTCACAGTACGGCATCAGGTAGTTATGTGAGAAACGCTGTTACCATAACTCCTCTTAATAATCCCTTTTAATTGGTTAATACAGAGGTCCAATAACTAAAATCAACCAATCAGATTGCTCTACTACTGCCCAATATTTTTCAAGTTGTTGGACTAAAGTAGTGTCCATGATTTTCCATTCAAAGGCGGCTCCTGCTAGAGATTTAGCTGAAAATATGCATATCTACCAGCGCCGCGCAATTTTTGTAAGTTTTCCCACGTCCATTTAAGAATTCTTGAACGGTTTCCTTGACGAAACGAAACAACCTCAGTTCTTCATCAGTTGAAAAAATAAGTGATGGTTTTCTCTTTTTCCATTTTGATATACACTGCATTAAGATAAACGAGCACTCATTTCTGTCTTCAGGAATTCCTCTTCCGAAACACTGGGCGAAAATGCCAAAAGATGACATGACAGTGCACCTGGTTCCACTCTCGAAAAATTCCCCTGAGTATAGAGACGTCACGCGCAAGTTCCAGGCTACCGCTGGTGGAGTAAATATTCAGAAAATAGAACGAATTCAGAATCCTCATCTGTACCAGTGTTACATGGTAAGAAAACAAAAGATGGACAAAGACATTGGTGGTAATAGTGAACGGCAGTTGTTTCATGGAACCGACGCTAAAAATGTCAGCCACATCAACACTCAAGGATTTAACAGAAGCTTATGTGGGGCCCATGGTAAGTGGTTACACTATTGCTTTGGAAGGTGAGAGGGTTTGTGTAACGAAAGTAACAGTTACATATGATAGAGCGAGATTTGCAATTTATCTGAGGTCGTGCATCTAAATCTAATTACAATTTGGGGTAAAGGAGAAGAACAGACCAGCTGGAGAAAAAACCTCAGCGGGTCTAGAATTTTAACAAGGACCACAATGATGGAAGGCTAGCGCTCTCAGCATTGCGCAATCCATGATTGCATGTGAAAGAGAGAAAATAATGACAGAATCCCCATATACCATTTTTTAAAAGCTATTTAGAGCTCGCACCGGGTTGTTTTTGTTCGTTACTACAACCGCGCGGTCACCCCTTAAAAGAAACAGTAACATGCCAGTGTACATTCTCAGTCAGGTGTCGATGTTGAGATAGCCATACAATTTGAGACACAACTGACAATGGATTGAAATAATTTTAATTGGAAAAGGTCACAAATGGGAGACCTGTTCTCCCCCTCTTTGTTTTCTTGGGGCCACGTATTTCAAGTGGGAGAATTACAGAAATATCCATTCTATCTGATCGTACCTACTTTTTTCTGATCGTATTAAATTAAGCTTTAGTTTTTATTCATTTGTCACAATCGAACCTCTCCATACGGACACCTCTCTAATACGGACAGTTTCCTATGTACCGACAAAATTCTCACACATTTCCTCTAAAAAGAAACCTCTACAATGCGGACCCTCTCTAAAACCGAAAACGGACGCCAAATCTCAGCCATAGGGCGCAAATTCATATAAATTCAACCTCTTTATTACGGACACTCCGGGCACCAGGTGTCGATAATTTGCGGTATGTGCCATTTCCCGTGGGCGGTTACACAAACATTGACACATTGATTCAGATATTCACAAGACACTCACTTTTGGNGGACACTCCGGGCACCAGGTGTCGATAATTTGCGGTATGTACCATTTCCTGTGGGCGGTTACACAAACATTGACACATTGATTCAGATATTCACAAGACACTCACTTTTGGGCCTGATTTTATTTACTAAACCTTCTAAACTATCAGTGGAGACTTGAGAGTGACTTCATCATAGTAACCTCTCCAATACAAACACCGCTCTAACACGGACACTTCGCTCTTTCCTTTAGGTGTCCGTATTAGGGAGGTTCGACTGCCATGCTGTTATTTGTTGGAATCTTTCCCCTCACTAACACATTGTGTTTATTTTCAGGAACTAGATTTGGACAAGGTACTTATTTTGCGAGAGACGCCTCTTACTCACTTTGTTACGCAAGGATAGGAGATGCCGGGGGCCACTACATGTACCTTGCCCGGGTCCTGGTCGGGCAGTATTGTGTAGGCAACCCTGCAATGATAGTGCCTCCCCCAAAGAACCCTTTAAGACCAGAGATATTGTATGAATCAGTGGTTGATAATCAAGTAGACCCATCTATTTTTGTTGTATTTTACGACAATCAGTGTTATCCAGAATACCTTATAACTGTGCAATAGTAGGCGAAATATTTCTTCACATTGTTACGTCACAGAATATAATTGTTATTTAAAATGTAATACCGTTGCACACAAAATGTAAATTATAGATTTAGCCAAGCCTAAAAGTGGAGTTCCTGTTCCGGTTTGTTCAAAGCCCGATTAAGCTAACCCAGGATAAGCGAGAAATTTGATTTGAGTTTTGTAACTTTGTGGTGAGGTTTTCTGTTAATATTGTTTGGCCTTCTCTTTTGAGATTGAATAACCTCAACCTCGCTTGAGTCCGCGATCCAATCGAAACCCAGTACTTGGTTATCGGCCAACTTCAAAAAACCACGTGACCTCGATGAGCTCTAAACTTGGGCCCTTGATATGGTCACGTGATACTGCTCAGCGAATACTTTGTTTTGACAGCAACGGAAATAAGGAGAAAGAGAAATCAAACGTACATAACATATTCATATCCA